AGGAGTTTGGCACCATGTGACTTACACTAGCGTACGAAAATCTGTTGGTGTGTAGAGTCTCAGCTGCTGAAACATCAAGCATGACGAGAGTGACGTGGTTGGAGCGAACAGAGCGATACGAAATGCATCTGTCATTGCAGGTGCTCAAATATCATGGATTCGTGGCCTGTATGAGTATCTCTCCCAGAGAACGAGGAACAGGGAGACACAAGATGCGTCGTTAAATGCAGACTTGAAAACGTTATGCACAATTTATCGTACTTCAGCCTACGAAACTATTTTGGTGTTAGTGCTTTCCATAACTTAAGTAAATAAATTGTTAGGTTTTGGGATTTAGAAGGACGGAAACGGTTGGCGCTCACAGTCCTTCTCTTTTAGTGAAATTTTCTTTCGTTTGAATTCGAATGAATCAGCAGATCTCTTGATCATCGGAGATAGATTCATTCTCTTTTTAAAGTCAGTGAGCGCTGAAAAGCCTTGCCGGGTGAGCATAAGAAGTTTTTGTTGTTGTGTTTGTTTGTTGTTTTGTTGTGTTTGTTGTTTGCAGCACAGAGGGCCTCCTGTCTCTGAATGTACAAAGGGGAAAGTGTTGCGACGCTAACCGACGTCTCGATTTTGGAAAAAAGGCCATTGAGACACGGACTTCTGCGTCGGTACTGGCCAGTTGTCAGTTTGTCAAATTGTGTTGCGTATAAATAAACCGTATTGCATGCTGTTTTCAGAAGAATGTATCTTTGATAGTATTAATTCTCTCGCAACAACTAAATCTTATGTTCTTTTCTCGTTCATTGTTTGTTTTTTGTTTAATTCGTAAATCTTCTGTTGTCTTTCAGACTGACTGGAGATGTGCATATATTGTCTCTTCTGACCAGTAGACCAGTAGAGCAGCTGATGGAGTCAGTGGTGAGGACGGTAAACGACATTCAGACGGCGTTGTTCTCTGCGCGCACGTCGATCGCCCTGGAGCTGCCGCAGATCGCTGTTGTCGGTAGTCAGTCATCCGGCAAAAGCAGTGTGTTGGAGAGCTTAGTTGGTAAGGACTTTCTGCCTCGAGGATCTGGCATCGTTACAAGAAGGCCGCTGATTCTGCAGCTGATCCGCTCTCCCGAAGTCGCAGAAGAATTCGGACAGTTCGCCCACACCGGAAACAAGCGGTTGTACGATTTTTCCAAAATCAGGGACGAGATCCAGCGAGACACGGAACGCGTCTGTGGCCCAAACAAGGCCATCGCCGATGTACCCATCAACCTTCGCATCTATTCGCCGCACGTCGTCGACCTAACTCTGATCGACCTCCCTGGCTTGACCAAGGTGCCCGTCGGCGATCAACCGAAGGATATAGAGAGTCAAATCTTGGAGCTGGTCCTGCGCTACATCTCCCAGAAGAACTGCTTGATTTTGGCTGTGTGCCAGGCGAACTCTGACCTTGCCAATGCAGAGGCGTTGAAGCTCGCTCAGATGGTGGACAGACAGGGTGAACGGACGATCGGTGTTTTAACCAAGTTGGACTTGATGGACGAAGGAACCAATGCCAGAAGGATTCTCGAAAATAAAGTATGACTTTGTACAGCAGCTTTTTATCCAACGCCAACGCCGCTACATGTTGATGCACGTTTCAGGTCATTCCGTTGAAATATGGCTACGTCGGCGTGGTGAACCGATCTCAGAAGGACATCGAGCAGCAGAAGGATCTGAATTCAGCGCTGGCGTCTGAGCAGGCATTTTTCGACAGTAAGCCGTGCTACACGGGTCTGCAGGGCCG